TTCGCCCAACCAGATTCCATGCTGAATGCTGGGACCATCATAACAACAGAAACAGCTGGAAGTTTTCAAGCATGGTACTACCAGTTTGGTAGATTTACCAAAAATAATTTAAAATGATTTCTGTAATCAACAATATGTACAATTTCGCCAATAGCTGCTGGAAATAATGACAACATTTCAGAAATAGCTTTTGATACTGTTCAAGATTATCTGATGATGGCAGAGAGCAGGTGGAAAGGGTGTTCCAGAAATAGACAACAGCGTGAATAAACAAGAGGAGGTAGGACTGAACAACGAGGGCAGGAGAGGGCACTGAGCGTTCTGGAAACTTCGTGTGGTCTACTGCTGATTGGGTCGACGGTGCACAGGAGTAGAAGTACAGGAGATGAGAGGGATAAACAGGCAGGAGTCAAACTGGAAAGGCCTTATTTGCTACACAAGAAGGTTCAAAATGTATTCCCTAAACCAGGGACTTTTAAATTGTGTTCTATGAACCTTAAAGTTCTGAGGAGGTACTTCAGGTGTTTTTCAAATATTTGAGTTGAAGCAAGCCCCGTGGTCATAATACAGAGAGCTCAATATACTCCTATTCTATCCTAAGAAAAGGTCTTTACAGCCAATTCATGGTCTGGAATGGTCATCCGAAATAACAGCTTACCTAGTTTACACTGTTCTTTCTCCTTCATTTGCAGTTGGTCCATGAGCCTTCGGATCTCTTCATGGGCCATCTCTAACCTCTTGGTTACTTGTTCCACACTTCTCTCTAGGCAGTGTCGTGATGTTTCATCTTTTTCCAGGTCTTTATTATGAGACTGAAATAAAATTACTGTTAGTAATATACAGTAAATGTAATCTTAGGACATCATGCTATTTTCTATAAATGTTTGAAAGCCAATAAAGAAAAGTAGCAAACAGAATATTTTCTTTAGGTGAGTTTGTTTTATTAGAATGAACCAAATAAAATAGGTTCCATTTGTTTTTTATTCATAAATATGCAATTGGATTTTGTTCAATTTAACAAATCTAAGAGATTATGTTTATATTATTACATGAAAAGAAAAAATTAAACATAAAAATGAGTACTATCTGACAAAAAAGAAACAACATTCCTCATTTAGATGGTACATAAAATAGTTTGTAAAACACTTTTACATAAAATATATCATTTAGGGACCAGCAGGTGGCATGGTGGTTAACGTGCTGGACATTCCCACATGGCCAACCAGGGTTTGGGTCCTGAATCTGGTGGCTTGCTTTCTCACTTCTTCTCTCTCTCACTCTCACCCTTTGTCTCTCTCTGGTCAAATTAAAAAATAAATGAGTGAATAAATAAAATTAAATAAATATTTATTTTTTAAAAAATATATCTTTTAATTTCAAAGCTCAAATAATGAAAGAGCATCTCATCTTTATTTTTATTGCATAATTTATTATTTAAATTTAATAATTATATATATTTATAGTGTACAATATGTGAACTAAAAAGTGAAAAGTGTACAAAATAATTGCTTCTCTTCTGCAATTATTTTCAGAGATTTTAAGTTAAGAAATCCAGTCTTAATTATATTTTGCTTTTGATTCCCTAAACAGAATGAATACTATATATGTATGTATAAAATAATTATATACATTTTTCTAAAAAAAGAAAATAAAAATACCATCTAACTAACAAAATAACTTTGAACATATTAGAATATTTCCTTGCAGTATTTTTTATTCATGTACATTTTCAACAGCTTTACTTTATTTTTAAGAATTATTTTATTCAACTTTATTTATTTATTTTAACTTGACCAGAGAGGGACAGAGTGAAAAAGAGAGAGGGAAAGTGAGAAAGCAAGCCACCAAGTCTAGAACTTGAACCACAGTTGGCCATGTGGGAGTCCAGTGCCCTTAGCCACCATACCACCTGCTGGCCCCAAACAGCTTTATTTAAATTTAAAAAATTTTAAATTATAGGGCACATGTGCTTGCCAGGGAGAGACAGAAGGGGGTGGGGAATAACAAAGCATTCCACTCAGGGAGAATTACCATGCCAAAATACCTTCTTCTCCATTCTCCTCTCAGGATTTTGGGCATGCGTGCACACGCACCTGGCGTGTTTCCTGTTCTATTTTATTTTGCCCAGTTTAGATTTATGGTTCATCACTATAATCCCTCCCTTGAAAACGTTCACAACTCATTTGCTGCTTTTTCCCATTATTCTTGCTTGGCAAAAGGTTGGCCTGTTTTAATCCAACTCTCCATCTCTTGTTCGGCTCACTCTAGAAGTTGAATGGGGTGGAGGAAACTACCCAGCCAGTTTGGTTTCACTTTAAATTCATGTCCACCACACCAAGCGAGCCCTTACTGCTGCCCAGCAATCCTCTTACATGCCCCTGACCACCTCTCTCTCATTCTCTATAGGCTGAGGCCATTACTTCACTCCCTCTCTCCTCATGTCTCTAACGCCTCCTCCCCCATCCCTACTATCACCTGATTCCTTGCTTCTTATCTAGTTGAGAAAAAAGAAGCTCTTCAAAGGGGACTTCTGGTCCAACACTGGCATCTTTGCTGAGGGTCACAATGAGCTGCGAGCTGCTGCAGAGGCCAGCCTCTTTAGGAGCCAGCACCATGGCAGAAGGCATCAAGAACTACAGGACTTCTCCCTCCCCATCCTACCCCCACTTTTTTTTTTAATAGAGATTTTTGCTATAGGGCTTGTGTACTCACCAGAGAGAGGCAGAGAGATAGAGAGCAAGAAATCAACCCCCACCCTGCAAAGGGGATGGTCCCGCCATCACCTCTTCTCTTCCATTCCCCTCTTGGGATCTTTGCCACACATGTACACGTGCATGGCATGTTTCAAGCCGCCAGGACTGGGACTTGAACTGCAGTCAGCCATGTGGGCATTCAGCACCTTAACCACTATGCCACCTGCTGGCCTTAAAACTGCCCTTTTTGACAGCTACTTCCCCAACCAGAACCAGACCTGGTTGGTCTGTTAGCAGAACTACCTAGACTTCCACCGCTGTGAAAAGGCAATGACCGCTGAAGGGGGTGATGTCTCTGTCCGTAAATGGTACCGGCGTGTGTACAAGTCTCTCTCTGGATTTCAACCTGGGATGACCACCAGGCAGAAGACACGTTTCCTGGGAAGGTGTGAACTGGCTTCACCTCACCACTCCTCTGCCCTTCGTCCTTCTCCCAGGTGGTAAAATGGGACTTGGGTACATGGTGAGCGCTATCCTGGGACCTTGAATCATTACTCAACTGGTAATAAAAGTTCATTGGGGCCAGCAGTTAGCGTAATAGCTATGTCACTGGACTCCCATGTAGTCGACGATAGTTCGAGTCCTGAACCTGGTGGCTTAAACTCACGCCAGGTGCGTGTGCATGCGTGCCCAAGATCCCAAGAGGAGAATAGGAAAGAAGGGATTGCAGCATGGCCATCCCTACTGGGGGGTGATTTCTCGCTGTCTTTCTGGCAAGTGCATGCACCCTATAGCAAAAACCTCTCAAAAAAAAAAAAAAAGTTCATTGGAAAAGTGTAAACACACACACACACACACAAACACACACAAGCAAAACAGAACTTCCACAAGCTCCCCTTACCAAATCTGTCATCTCCTGCATACTCATCCTCCTTGTGAGAATTACAAAGCTGTCCTTGTACCTAAGGCCAGGTCAGTCCCCCCTTGTGTAATGGATCCCATTCTTTCTTATCCCTTTCTCTATTGCCTCATCAAGCTTTGTTCTCAACTATAAGTATTATAATCATTTTAGAGACATGCTGTAATATCTATTACAAAATAAAAAAAAAAAGCACCTTCCTTCAACCTCATGACTCTCTCTAGTTTCTGTACTGTTTCTTCATATCCCTTTATAACAAAATTTCAAGTAAGGAGGCCCAGCTGCCTAGTGCTAGCTGGATACTGGTGATTGGCAGGCTGAGGTCACATGGGAGGACTGAGTTAGATTCCTGGCCCGCCCACCCTAACATGTCTCCTGCAATGGTACCTGTCTGTAATAGCAATTATTCTAGCGCTCCAGGCAGGAGAACTTTGACACCGCAAGGCCCTGTCTGAAACACCAACACACCTGGCCACAGTCCCACACACATACCCCACACACAAAACTTTAAAAAAGTATAAACCATGCCTCTGTCTTCTCTTCCTCTCCTACTCCTCTTTCCTGAATTCGTTCCATGTTTTCATACATGTACGGCCCCACAGAAACAGCTCTTGTCAAGGGCACTAACAACATCCATGTCACCAAATGCAATAGTCAATTATCAGTTCTTATTTCACACAGCCTATTAGTGGCAGACAATCCGGTTGTTCATATCCTTTTCTTAAAACTAAACCCTTTGATCATTCTTCTTCTGGGACAGAATCCTCTGGTGGTTTCCTCCCAATTTGTGTGCCACTCCTTCTGAGACGTCTTTGCTAATTTCTCCCCTTTCAAATCTCTACACACTGGAATACCCCAGGGTCCAGCCCTTAACCCCTTCTCTTCCCTGTCTATACTCACCCCCTCTATTATCTCATATTGTCCCAAGGTTTTAAGTATTAGCTCTATGCTGATGACTCCTAAATGTATATCTCGTTTGTATGGTATTCCAGATAAATATACACAATTGTCTAGTTGACATTTCCGCTTGGATGTCTAATATGCACCTAAAAATTTACATGTCCAAGAGTAAATCCTTTACTGTGCCTCCTCCCCCCAAACTGGACCTCCCATAATCTCCCAATCTGAGCAGTTGCAAATTCTAATATTCCAGTTGTTATGACTTTGGATTGCCAGTAACTTCTTTCCTTTTCTCTATTTAACATTAAATCCACTATCAGGTTAAAAGCACTTAAAAAGAAAAAAAAAAAAGCAGGCAAGCAGATCCTTTTCTCTCTTCTGTTCCTTTAAAAGTAGAAGAAAAAATCCCCATGTGAAAGATGCCTTACCTATAACTAGAAGGACAGAGACAGTCTTATCATCAGGGATGGAAGGTTAAGACCAAAGGAACTCTGCATAGAATTTGTCAAAACAATTCATGTTTTACGCCTCTCCAGATATTTAGTTGTTTTTTGTTTGTTCCTTTAACAACTTCCTATTCTTTGCCTATTCAGAATATGAGTGATTAACTCTAACCACTTGTTTGGGTCTTCATTTCCTTCTGAGGGCTCACAATGTCACTTAAAACATATTAAATACATGTGTATGCTTTTCTCCTGTGAATTTGTTCTATGTCACAGTAGATCTAACCCCAGCTGGGAAAACAAAAACAAAAACAAAAACAAAAACAAAACACCAGAAAGGAAGAAGTAAATCTTGCCTCCCTTGGGACCAGCAGTTGGCATAATGGCTATGTTACTGGACTCCCATGTAGTCGACTGCAGTTCAAGTCCTGGACCTGGAGGTTTAAACTCACGCTGGGCGCATGTGCGTGCGTGCCCAAGACCCCGAGAGGAGAATGGAAGAGAAGGGATTGCAATGTGGCCATTCCCCCCCAGGGGGTAATTTCTTGCTTTCTGTGTCTCTGTCTCTCTCTCTCTGGCTTTCTGGCGAGCACACATACCCTATAGCAAAAACCTCTCCAAAGAAAAGAAAAGAAATTAAGTCTCCTTGTCTACAGTTTAGGAAGTATGGCCCTGATACTCATGAATAGAGAAAAATCCACACAACTTATTTAATACCGCTATGCTAAAACTGATGATTACGTTGTCAGAGATGTTAATGTGAGATTACATTAAAATAAATTGTTAGGTATTCTTTCTGGTTAGTATGATAGTTTCACAAAAGGTATTTTATGTGACTAATAATAACAGATTAAAAGTCAACTACATGCTGTAAGCACTATATATTTATTTTTTATTTTTTGAGAGATAGATTTTTGTCATAGGGTGTGTGTGCTCACCAGAGAGACAGAGACAAACAGAAGTAAGAAATCACCCTCCAGAGGGGATTACCATGCTGCCATCCCTTCTTCTCTATTCTCCTCTTGGGATTTTGGGCATGCACACACACACACCCTGCAAGACTTTTAAGCTGCCGGGTCTGGGACTTGAACTGTGGTCGAGTACATGGAAATCCAATGACATAGCCATTACACTATCTGCTGGTCCCTGTAGACACAATATTAAGGGCACCAAATATTTTTCACCACCAGCATATGGGACTATTACTCTTCTACTTTATAGGTGAGGAACAAGCTTAGGGAGCCTGAGGGACTCACCTTGTCACACAAGGACTAAAGGGAGGAGTTAGAATTCACTCAGTGCGCCAAAAGCAGAGATTGAGTTCTTATTATGCTTAGAAGCAGACCTTAAAGTAGATTGTCAAAATAAGTGAACCACGCTCTTCCCTCTTCCTGCCATCTTGGAGCCTGTGGAGGCCTGCAGGGAACAGGACTTCTATTTTTTTTTTTTTTTTTTGAGAGGTTTTTGCTATACGGCACATGCACTCACCAGAAAGACAGAGAGATAGAAAGCAAGAAATCAACTCCCACGGGGAATGGCCACGCCACAATCCTTTCTTCTCCATTCCTCCATTCTCCTGTCAGGATCTTGGGCATGCACACACACATGTGCCTGGAGTGAGTTTAAGCCACCGGATCCGGGACTCAAACCACAGTCGGTTACATGGGAGTGGTTCAGCAACATAGCCATTATGCTAACTGCTGCTCCCATGGGAAGAGGACTTCTAAAAGGCAACTAGGTCTGGAAGGCTGTGGTCCAAGGCCATTTTTGCTGACTGTAAGTGGTGTCTCAGGAACCAAAGGGAGCACACAGCTCTTCTTAAAATTGAAGGTGTTTATGCACAAGATGAAACGAAATTCTGTTTAGGCAAGAGATGTGTTTATGTGTACAAAGCAAAAAACAACACAGTGACTCCTGGTGGCAAACCAAATGAAACCAGAGTAATCTGGGGAAAGGTTACTCGGGCCCATGGGAACAGTGGCATGGTTAGAGCCAAATTCTGAAGCAGCCTTCCTGCTAAGGCCATTGGACACAGAATCTGTGTGATGTTGTACCCCTCGAGGATTTAAAATAATGAAAATAATGAATAAAAATGGATTCATGTTGTTAAAAAAAAAGTGGACAGCATTTTACTTAACTGTTTGGAAATCTATTGGACAAATTCTCAAAATATGAACAAAAGTTGAGTAACATAATAACATAATACAAGACAGAAACTGCAACTTTGCACTTTTTGGTAAGCTTCAATTTACTCCTCTTTAAAATAGAAGGAACAGGGACCAGCAGGTGGCATGGTGGTTAAGGAGCTGGATGCCCGTGAGGCTGACTGCAGTTCAAGTTCCAAACCTGGTGACTTGCTTTCTCCATCTCCTCCCCCTACCTCCACCCACTGTTTCTCTTTGGTGAGCACATGTGCCCTATAGACAATGTAAATGAATAAATTTAATTACTTAATACTTTTTTTTTTTTTTGGAGAGGTTTTTGCTATAGGGTGCATGCACTCGCCAGAAATACAGAGAGAGACAGAGAGATAGAAAGCGAGAAATCACCCCCCAGGGGGGATGGCCATGCCGCAATCCCTTCTCCTCCATTCTCCTCTTGGGATCTTGGGCACACACGCATGCACAAATGCACATGTGCCCGGCGTGAGTTTAAGCTGCTGGGTCCAAGACTTAAACTGCGGTCGACTACGTGCGAGTCCAGTCACATGGCCATTACACTAACTGCTGGTCCATTACTTTGTAATTTTTAAAATTATAAAATGGCAGGAACAATAGCCATTTCTAGCAATAGCTATAATTTATTGAATACTTGGTAGATGTCAAGTCCCCAAGTGAAATGATTTACACATGAAGTTAGGCTTCACAAATCCCTTTGAGGAAACTATTACCATCCCCATCTTAATGATGAGAAATTTCGAGCTCAAAGAAGTTAAGTAATTTGCCCAGTTACACATAAAGGCAAAACTAAAGGGACCAGCAGGTGGCATGGTGGTTAAGGCGCTGGACACTCCCATATGGCCAACCATGGTTCGAGCCCTGGACCTGGTGGCTTGCTTTCTCACTTTCTCTCTCTTTCTCTCTCTGGTCAAATTAAAATAAATGAATGAATAAATAAAAATAAATAAATCTTTAAAAACAAAAAAGACAAAACTAAAGACAATTTTTCACCCCCATATACCCAATATTAGAATTCATGTTCTATTGTTAAGAAAAAGCTGCATTCTTCCTTAAGAAGAATATTATATAATAAGAATATATTGTCCTCTAATAACTCAATTTAAGAATCAACAAGTTATTCATCTGAGCTGAGATATGAAAACACATCAGAGTGATTCCCAGACAATCTGAGAGAATTTACTAGCTCATTTTAATTTCATTGCCAGGAAGAGAGAGAGGGAGCGTATCTCCCAATAGGGTGTGGTCAACTGCAATCTGTTTTCCTCAATTTCTCCTTCCCATCAGGATTTTTGACATATACTGGGTCATCGGAAAAGTTCTGACATATTTTTCTATGTTTTTCTTCTTTTTCTCCTAAAGAACTATTTATTTAATTTTATCCATCAATATTGCTATTATTTTATTTAATTTGACCAGAGAAAGACAGAGAGAGAGGGAGAGAGAGAAAGGGAGAAAGGCAGAAAGCAAGCCACCAGGTCCAGGACTCAAACCGTGGTCAGCGATGGTGAGTCCAGTGCCTTAACCACCATGCCACCTGCTGGCCCCTCTATATTTTTCTATGCAAAAATGCATCATGACTTTCCTAACGACCCAACACCTGCCAAATGTGTTTTTCTAGCTGCTAATGGCCAGGATCCAGCTTCTAATGTTTAGTGCTTAACGGCTGCACTATGGGGCTGGCTATTATAATTAACAGCTCGTTTAAAGAAAGACTATGGGGCTGGACCCTAGGAGCAGTGGTTAAGCACTGTGCAGAGGAGGCTGACAGTTGACTGAGGTTCAAATCCAGGCCCTGGTGGCAACACGACAAGAAGCTCCCAAGTAAACCCAGGATCCTGACAGGATGGAGAATTGGAAGAAAATGGATTGCAGTATGACCAGGCCCCTCTGGGAGATCCATCTCTCTCTCTCTCTCAAAGGAAAAAAAAAAACATTAAAAGAAGAAAGATTATGGAAAGTAGATTCATCAATGGTAGAAACATCACAAAGTGATAATAGAGCCAAAATGGCATTACTTACTCAAACTCTGGTCCTAGGACATAAGAGGTCATTCCCCAGAAATGAGGGCTGGCGTAGATAGCCTTGTTGGGAAACCTGACGACTTTAGTCAGGGCTACAAAAATCTATGGTCATTTGTTCACCAAGTACACATCTGATTAAAATTTAGCTTCCCTTGGGACCAGCAGGTGGCATGGTGATTAAGGAGCTGGACTCCCACATGGCTGAGAGTGGTTCAAGTCTTGGACCTAGAGGCTTACTTTCTCATTTTTTTCCCCTCCCTCTCTCTGTCTCTCTCTGCTGAGTATATGTGCCCTGTAGCAAATTATTAAAAGTAATAATGATAAATTATTAAAATAACTTTTAAAAATAAAATCTTTAAAAATAAAATCAAATTTGGCTTCCCATAAAGTGTGCCTATAAGAGAACGCATTAGCCACTAGAAGTGTGTCTGGCTCCTCTGGCACTTATATTTCTTGTTGTCAATTAATAAGTCTGTGTTTGTTTTTCTATAAACTTCTCGATCAGTTTGACTAATAAAAACCCCTCTTTGAGAAATGAAAACACTCATTATATGCTAATAAAGATTCCAAGCCTTCAAGGAAGAGTCATGTAAAGGGTCAGCTCCCTGAAACAAGGATGACTTCACCAAGATATTAAAAACCACCTTGAGGAGACCTGTTTGGATAAGCGAGTTATCCCTGGACAACATCTTGTACACATGCTCTATAGGAAACCAACACAGACTATTGCCATGTTTCATGAAAGAAATATATATATATAGGGGCCAGCAGATGGCATGGTGGTTAAAGTGCTGAATTCCCACATAGCCAGTTCTGGTTCAAGTCCTAGACTTGGTGGCTTAAAACTCACGCCAGACACGTGTGTGTGCGTGCCCAAGATCCCGAGAGGAGAATGGAGGAGAAGGGATTGTGGTGTGGCCATCCCCCTTGGGGAGTGATTTCTTCCTTTCGCCCTCCCTTTGTCTCTTTCTCTCTCTAGCAAGCACAAACACACTATGGCGAAAACCTAAAAATAAGTGAGAGCTTTGCAAACTACACAGTGATATTTGAATGTTAATTTTTAATGGGTCAATTAAAAGCACAATGGACAAAACCACAAGAATCTTAAAATTCACGTGATTAATTCTTACTTCCTTCGTTTCTTCCATGTGCTTCACTCTAAGCTCTTTGGCATTTCTGGTAGCGATCCTCAGTCTGTCTTCACAAGGCTGGAATAACCATAAGTCAAAGGGAGAAGTTCTTCCACGGTAGCAAGAGGTCAATTCCTTCTTTCTCAGGATGATGAATTATGTCTTCTAATTAAAGTTCTTCCTTGTCAGAAGAGAGAAGCATGTGTGTATGTACACACACGCACAACGAAGAATACAAAAAAAATGCAATGTATAGAGTTGAATCTCCACAAAGTATATTTTAGTATTCCTATTAATTTTATGTTATTCAGTTAAAATGAGCACTTATATGAAACAGCTGACGATACCAAAAAATTAAAACTTTCAGCAGCTGCATATCTTTTAAAATAACAAATGATGACACAAGATATATGTGTGTGTATATATATGTGTGTGTGTATATATATATATATACACCCACATACACACATATATATATATACACACACATACACATATATATACACATATACATATATACACACATATATATATATACACACACATACACATATATATACACACACACACACACAAACACCACTAGTTATGTAGAGTATTTGAAACAAATACAAGCTTTTCTGTCTATGGGATTAAAATGCAAGTTCATTCGGGTGCAAAAAATGTGAAATCCGTACATAGTCTTTTCGTAATGGTCACTTTCCATGAACTCATATAAGACCATCCATATAAGTCATCCCAATAGGGTGAAATACAATAGTTATTCTTTTAAACTATACTTATTCTGCGATGACAGTGAGACCTCCTGTCTCTGGATCATTAAACCCTCTCTGAAACTATGAGATACTCTTTGGCTTCATGTGTTCCCTAAAGCCTAGACCCAACCATTGATAATTAAAAACAATTTTTTTATCAATGCCTCTAAATATCTTGCTCCTTGTTCCATCTTCTTTGCAAATCCCAGCCCTGAAAAACTTCCTTCTACACACTGCCAGCTTCTGCTACTTTTTCACCCAGCAGCTAGTCTAAACTGGCACCACGCCCATATTGTTTCGTCAGGGAAACATTTCCCTTTGGGTATGTTCAGTATTTCTCTATGATCTCTTGCCCTCAGCTCAAGATGCCACTAATCTTAAAAACAAAGATTTAAAAAGGGGGTTGGATGGCGGTGCAATAGTAAAACACAATGCTCTGTGAGGCTGACCCACCAGGGAAGGTCCTGGGTTCAAATCCCAAGACCTTCCTGAATATAATGGACATAAATATATCCATGATCCAGGGCTGATTGAAGTCATAGGTAGACTATGGCATCAAGACCTATTGAGGGTGCTGCCTGTCTGTCTCTTTCTGCCCTACTCCTGGAAGAAATAAACAAAAAACTGTCCTTTGATCCTGCCATATTACTTTCTAGCTATGATCCTCTTTGGACAATTTGTCTCCCACACTTACCTTTTGTCTTCTGCTCTGACTACTATACTCAAATTATCAGTCAACAATGAACTCAAAATATGACATCCAATTGGCCATGCTTTTGTTTTATGTATCATCTCTCTACAGCATCTGTTCTTTCTTTTCCTGTAAGTTTTTCCTACTCTGTTCTCTGATAGCACTTTCTCTTTTGATTCTTCCCTTGTTTACCCTTCTCAGTGTTCCCCATAGGCCTTTCAAATGCTGGCATTCTCAAAAACCTTGCCTTTGGCTCTTTGCCCCCTCACTACCACAAGTATTAACAGTTTGGGCATAAGTCTAACAAACCTGGTTCAAACTTGGAGCCACCAGTTTGCAGATGAATTACTTAGATAAGTCACATAACTTGTTTAAATTCGTATTTTCTTCTCTGTGAAATGTATATAATCAAGTCTATCTCATTGGGTTGTTCGAAGGATTAAATAATAATCCATCTTGGGACCAGCAGTTAGCGTAATGGCTATGTCGCTGGACTCTCACATAGTCGACCACGGTTCGTGTCCTGGACCCGGTGGCTTAAACTCATGCCGGACACGTGTGCATGCGTGCCCAAGATCCCGAGAGGAGAATGGAGGAGAAGGGATTGTGGCGTGGCCATCCCCCCTGGGGGGTGATTTCTCGCTTTCTATCTCTCTGTCTCTCTCTGTCTGTCTGGCGAGCGCATGCGTCCTATAGCAAAAATCTCTCTTAAAAAAAAATAATAATCCATCTCTACTATGCTCCAGATCTATCAATAAATAGAAACACATCAAAATAGGAACAAATACAGTAAGCGTAGCAGAGACTACCAGTTGTCCCCCCAACTCCCATTTTTTAAAGATTGTTTTTGCCTTAGCGTGCATGTACACGGGAGAGAGAGGGAAAGTGAGAAATCACTATCCAGGCGTGATGGCCATGAGGCAATTACTTCTCCATTCTCCTCCTGGGATCTTGAGCACACACGCACACATGCCCAGTCTGAGTGTCAAATCATCAGGTCTAGGACTTGAACCACAGTTGGCATGTGGGGGTCCAGCAATGTAACCACTACACTATCTGCTGGCCCCACCAATTGTCCTTTAATATTCTTCCCAGAAGGAAAAAAAATATGCCAGTATTGCAGAAACTAAGGGAAAGATATACAGAAACGCTCTGTATTATCTTTGCAACTTTTCTGCAAGTCTAAAATTATTCCAAAATTTAAAAAATTTGTTTTAAAAACATATAAAAATATTTATTCTTCTCTTCTTCCACAGATAAAGACATTTAGGGTTTTTTTGGTGTTTTGTTTTGTTTTAAGAGATTGTTTTTGCTAGAGGGCGCATGCAGTTGCTGGAGACAGAGAAAGGCAGAGAGAAATCACTCTCTAGGGGGAATGGCTAGGCTGCAATTCTTTCTCCTTCATTCTCCTCAGGATTTTGGGCACACACTCACACATGTCCAGTGTGAGTTTCAAGTCACTAGGTCCAGAACTTTTGCTATGGTTGTCGATGTGGGAGTCCAGTGGCGTAACCATTTGCCATATGCTGGTCCCAGACGGGTTTTTTGTTTGTTTGTTTTTTGTTTTTTGTTTTTTAACTGAACAAAGAGTTTTACTGTTAGAAATAGTTATGTGACATCTAACAGGATGTCCATGGAATTGTGTGCTGCTTCCAGGAAATGTCCTTAAAGAAACGGGATGTCCCCTTCCTTGCTTTTCCCTTCTTTCCAATGGCTGGAATTCAGACAGGAGAGTTATAGCTTGAGCAATCATCCTGGACACCACAGAGTGGAAGCCATAAGCCGCATACCATGGATGATAGAACATCATGAAAGAGGAAACCTCCATCTCTGACCATTTCAAGATACTACCCTACCAGTTAGGGACTGCTTTCTTTTTGACTTTTATGTGAGAAGTATATCTCTTTTTCAAGCCATTATTATTTTGAGCTCTTTTGTCCCTCACAGCCAGCCAATCGCAACTTCTGTAGGCTCTTATCCTGTAGAATAAGATACAGGACATATGCTGGAAACTCAACATGGCTAATGGAACTGGAAAGGAGCAGGATATGGAACTGGATAGCATTAATAATCTCTCCTGATCCTCAAGATCTTTCATCTCTGGATTTCCCTGTGAGTCTGCTCCTCTTGTTTCTCTACATGAATGACTTTGCTTGCTCATTGGCAAGGCTGAGAACAGCTACTCAAGTCCTGAGCCTATGTGAATTTTTAGATTAAGCCATTTACATCTTTTTTTTTTTTTAAGAGAGAAACAGAGACAGTATTTCTGACAGGATCTTGCTGTGTCACGATGTTCCTTCCCAATTAGCAAGGATTATAGGCATCACAACTGTATCTAGTATGTTCAGGTTGACCTGGGAAGCGAACCTAGGTCTCCATGCACCTTCCAGCTCCCCAAACAGTGGCACTATCTGCACATTACCATGGCTGGCCCATTTCTGTCTTTGTATCTTAGTTCAGATTTTTGAAAGAGAGACTATTAATTATAGCTCATCCAATGAATCATGGATCCCTCTCTAAAGTTAGTTACGTATTCCTCATTGTGAATGGAATGGGCTGTAAGTAGGGGTACAAATAAGGCCACTGACACCTACCTTTTAAGCAAAGATTTGTGAGAGATGAAAATTCCAGGGGAGATGATATGTACGTTAGAAAGACAATAAAAAATTGTAAGACTATTGCATGAGCAACCATCTAGTGAACTTAGCTGAAACAATTCACTCATCCTTTCGCCTCCTCCTGCATTCTACAGCTAAAATCATCATCAATATAGTTTCCCAAGCCAAAAACCTAGGAGTCAACCTTAACCTCTACTTCTTATTCATCCTATGCTAATGCACAACCAGCCATTGAATTTGTAGATTCTACGACTTTTGTCATTTTCTAATTCACCCTTTCCACATCTACAGTTGCTGCCTTCGTCTAGGCTCTCTTCACTATTTGCTCAGTTTAGAGTCATAGCATCCTTAACTGATGTTCTGGCTGCCGGATTGGCCCCCATCCAATCTGCGCTCTGTAAAGCTCTCAGACTGATTCTTCTGAATATAAATCACTTACTGTTTAACATTCTCATTGCTTTCAGGAAAAAAATCAATCCCTTAGTTTGGCACCAGAGATTCTTCACAATCTGGTTCCCGCCTGTCTCTCCAGCCATATCTTCGGCCACTCTTTTATATTACGCCTTCATACTTATTGATTCCCATCATGCTGCTTATATTTCCATATACTTTGGATATTCAGATCCCTCTTCCTAGACTGGAGCTATATTTAAGACTCTTTTTTTGTTCTAGTCTAAGACTATTAAATCTGCTCCCTTGACAAAAATACTTATTTGTAATTACATTATGGTGTTTTTGTTCCTTGGATCACACACATCACAATGTTTCTGATTTAGAAAATGATATGATAAGGAAACATACGAACTGTTTTCAAGGATTTTCTCTCCAGAAAATTCTCTTATTCCCAGATGCTGTGTCCTATGGGCTTAAAGTTGAAATCTTCTGTTGCATGATCATTTTGAATGAGCTTTTCACATGTATGAACACATCACTAATCCATTTACACAACAGCAACTTCCTTTCTTATATAAGCCTGAAATACACCCAATATTGCAATTCTGAATTTACCTCTCTTTTGAAAACACACTAGGCCTGCAGTAACTTAATTTTTATATTTACCAATGGGCACGTTTCCATTCTAGTCTCTCGTGTACCCAAGCCAGAAAGTTTGCCATAGTACAGAGAAATCAAGAAAGTGTCCCCAGTGATTCCAGAGCTGGACAATGTGAAATACTTAGCTACGCAAAGCATTGCAGCAGGAAATCAGAGATGGTGGAGACGAAAGGACATTCGATAATGTGCAGGGTGGAAGGGAAAGGTGAGAATGGCTGTGGAATGAGCAGGATGAGAACACTGGAGGTCGGAGCGATGAGCGAAGTGGATGAGATCAGAAAGGCTTGAAAGGCAGAGGGTAACTGACTTGACCTCTGATGCCGAGGGTACAAAAGGCCTCCAAAGCTTCATCAGGATTCAAGGCTCTGCACGACGAACATCGGCCAATACCGCAGAAAACAGCAGCTCTTTTGTTCACGGGCGGGCAAGTGGGGGACGGCAGTGCCTCCGTGGACCTTGGCGTGGCCCGCACCTTAGGGCGCAGTCGTCTGTCCAGGCCTGCATGGGGCAAGGAATGCCCACCTACCTCAAGGAGAGGGTTCTGCGCGCGCTCTAAGGGGGGCAGCCTGCGATAAATGCCCGCGGCAGGTGGGTCGGGGAGAAACCCGCTTATCTTTCGGGCAGAACCACTGCAGCCCCGGCCGCGCGAGGCCAGGGCCAGGAGGGGCTCTCCTCTTTAATATCTGGACATGCTGGCTAACCCAAAAGACCTGGTGAGCAGGAAAAGAGGGGAGCCGGGGCTTTCCTCCTCGGGGCTGAGGTGGGAACCCGGCACCGGCATGGAGAATTTCTCCTGAAGGGTGAGGGGAAGGCCCGGGGTCGCTCGGCTCCGCGCCCTCAGCTGCAAGCGGCTGGTGCCTGCAGAGCCCCGGGAGTCATAGCAACCGCGCTCGCTCCCAGACGCAGAGGCGTCCTTCCGGCGGGAACCATAGAGACGACGCACGCCATTGGCGCCAGGTCTGCTCTTCCTGTGAGGACTGTCTTTACGGCGCGCACCATTGGCCTTCGCGTCGTGGGGTGGGTCTTTTCCTGTCCAATCGGTAGTACGGGTCATTCCTCCGGCCCTGGAGAAGGCAGTAACCATGGTAACGGGATAGCAAGCGTTTGCAATTTAGGCGTTGCGTTGGTCAGCGGGCGTTCTAGTTCTCAAATAGTTTTCCACCGCGTCTTGTCTAGCGCTGTGACCTACTAGCCTTAGGGTTTTTCCTCCACCCCTAGAATTTACTTTATTCTTAGAACGGCTGAGGTGCTAGAGCAAGAGCTCTGAATTTAATGCCCAGATCTGTCACTAACTACCTGGGGCACCTAAGATAAATCAATACTTTTGGAACAAACTTATAGAAGTGAAGAAACCGGACTTGACTAGGCTGAAGCTCTGTAGAAAACCTAAGGACTGAAAATTTAGTTCAAGAGGACCTTATTTCCCATGTATAAATGGTATAAAATTTAACATAAACAATTTATATCATCTTTCTAGGTGCCCATATTACAAAATTCAGCTCAAGTTTACTCGTTTTGGAATCGCAGACACTATTTGCATTTCTTGGTCTTATTCTAGTTCCCTAAAAGGTTACTTTTCAAACCTTTGCTGGCTCTATATATGCTAGTTATGTAAATATCTTACCCCTTATTCCCCTTATTTTCTTTCTTTCTTTCTTTTTGAGAGAGATTTTTGCTATAGAGTGCATACACTGGCCAGAGAGAGAGAAAGTGAGAAATATACCCCCCACCCCCATGGCTACACTACAATCCTTTCTCCTCCACTCTCCTCTCAGGATTTTGGGCACACATGCACACGTACACACCCAGTGTTTCAAGCCGCTGTGTTTAGGACTCCAACTGTGGTCAACCACATGGAAGTCCAGCATCCTAACCACTACACCTCTTACCCCTTTACTTTTCTTTTCTTTCTTTTTTAATAGAGATTTTTGCTAAAAGGCTTATGCTCACTGGAGCCAGAAAGCAAAAAACCACCTCCCCTCCAGGGGAATGACCATGCCTCAACTCTTTCTCTTCCAATCTCCTCTTGGGATTTTAGGCACGCACCCTGTGTGAGTTTTAAGCTGCCAGGTCTGGGGCCATGGGAGCCCAGTAATGTAACCACCACCCCACCACCTGCTGGTCCCTCCCCTTTACTTTCTACAAGTGCTTCAACTCCTTTCTTTGGCACCATATCTCTTGCACCATATTTTCTTCCTCCAGTCTAAAAATGCTCATCATCACCACCACCTGCAGCCACTTAACTCCTAGTTACCAGTTTAAGCATCTCATGGGAACATAGAGCAAGCCAGACAGAGTGATAGGGAAAGTGAGAAGTCACCCCCTGGGGGGGATGGTCAAGCCACAATCCCTTCTCCATTCTCAGCCTGGGATCTTGGGAACACACACACACACACACACATGGGCCTGGTAAGTTTTAAACCACAGGTCCAGGACTTGAGCCATGGTCAGCTACATGGGAATCCAGCGATGTAACCATTACCCCATGTTCCTTTTCTTTACACACTTCCATTTACTAATAAAAAGAACACACACATACTCCTGGAATTTTTACTTGTACAAATACTTATTTTTTATACATTCAATCACTATACATCATTCAGCTTGCAAACACTGTTTTTTAAAGATTTATTTAATTCTATTTATTCATTCATTTGATTTTTTTTTTTTTTTGGAGAGATTTTCACTGTAGGGCGCGTGCGCTCGCCAGACAGAGAGAGACATAGAGACAGAAAGCGAGAAATCACCCCCCAGAGGGGGATGGTCACGCCGCAATCCCTTCTCCTCCATTCTCCTCTCGGGATCTTGGGCACGCATGCACACGTGCCCGGCGTGAGTTTTTAAGCCACCGGGTCCGGGACACGAACCGCGGTCGACTACGTGGGAGCCCAGCGACATAGCCATTACGCTAACTGCTGGTTCTCATTCATTTGATTTTAATTTGATAGAGAGAGACAGTGAGAAAGCAAGCTGCTAGGTCTGGGACTTGAATCATGGTCAGCCATGTGGGAGTATCTGGTGCCCTAACCACCATACCACCTGTTGGTCCCCACATATTCTGTTTTTAATTGCTCTGAATAGAGACTAAACTGAAGTGGAAAATACTTTAACTCCACTTAGTGGTTGGTTATTTCTAAACATTAACAAAATAGGATACAAAATTATTTCCAAGGAAGTAAAACCCAACATTAAGGTCACTATAAGCTTTAACCTTGCTCATCCTATTTTATACCCAAAGATGATTATGACAGTCATCACCCACATGATGATATGATGCAGGGAAGGAAACCTTTTATTCCTACCCCTTCAGTATTGCAGGCACTGCTGACAAAACTAGTTGTTTTTGAGGTTTTATCAGCTGGACTTGAAATCTTTGCTCACAGTGACTGCTGCAATTATTCTTCCCGTGCTCAGGGACACACTTTGTGACTTAAATGAAGTATTTCAGTCTATCTTGGCAATCTGTTCAAATCTCAATTAAAATTTATTGTACCTCTATTATCGATAGGACACATGAGGCTAGCCTTCCATGAAGTATTATGAATTTTAAGTATGTAAGTAAATATAAAGGGCACACAAGGAGAATGCCTATCCCCCAGTAGGGCAGAAATCATTCCAGTCTCCATGCCATCAGGATCCTGGCAAGACACAGGGGAAGGGAGAGGGGCAGACTCAGATCTTGGTCAGCTATGTGGGATCCAGCAGAGCTTAACTGCTGTGCCAACGAGCCAGCTAATGCACTGGATTTTAAGTCAATTATTTATGTGAAACGCAGTACCTGCTTCTGTGGTTTTCCATACTGCACTGTAGACCACGCTACAGGTCACTCGAGACTTTTCTCCAGTAAGCTGCTATACACTCCGACTCCCAAACTCAAAATAGTGAATGAAGCTTTCAAAGTTTCTCAAGGATACTTAAGGACTCAAGGATCAAGCAGGGCATTGGCATACGCAGCCTTGCTAAGTGAGAGAAATAACTGCAACCATTTATGGAGTGTGAATTGTCAGGTACCAGACTAACAGTTTATCTTCACTGTTTTATTTACTCTTCACAAGTGGCATTACTTTGCAGAGAGATTATCCCATTTATAGATGAGGAAACAGGTTAAGGCAGGTGTCTAAGTTTATAAAGCTAATAGGTGGCATAGCTGGCTAAGTTGAATCCAAAGCCCATACAACTGGGTCATCAGAAAAAATCATGAGGTACTTTTCTGTTTTTCTATGCAAAAATGGTCATGACTTTTCCAGCAACCCTATATATGCTTCCCTCCCTTTAGGCAGGGGTTACCAATTGGCTCCTGCCTGATCCCAGGTAGAAAGTCACATTAAGTTTGCCTAACAGCAATCCTAATATTTGAGAGAGAAATTGTTACGCAAACATGGAATGAATCTAGGACAAGAAGCAAAAGTAAATGTAGTGGGAAGCTGGCCAGTTTACAACCTTATGGTGAGGTATCCTTTTCCCCTACTCCCATCTTTGAAAAATTTCAAAAAAAAAAAAAACCATCCTTCCCATTGTGTCAGCTTTTGGGCACACACTTTATTGCACTTTTTAAAAATACATCCGTTTCCCAAAGACATGTTTATTCATCTTTTTAATCCTAATAGCTCAGTACAGGGCCTGCACATAGTAGGCACCCAACAAATATTTGATCTTCAAAGCATGACCACTCATGCATCCATCATCCTTTTTTTATAGTATGAAGAAGGCTAATATTCAGGCTCCCAAATATATTTTGAGGAATATATAATTCCCAGAAAGCTCCTTTTTCAAAGGTGAGAAACAGGTCTAGTGTTCAATTGTGAAATCAAGATGACATTCCAGTATGTCAGGTGGTTCCGTCATTAAAAGACAAATTCCAACGGTCAATATATGTGCCTGCACACCACAGCTTTCTCCCCTCCCTTCATTTTCTCTGTCCTTAGGAGGGCAAAGGATTGATTCTAGTTCTCACCATCTGTAAGAGCCCTGGTCCACTGAATAATTTCTGATCCTGTAAAGGCTTTTTACTTCAGTTTTTGTCACATATAAAAGCTGTGTGTCGAGACTGAAGATTATCCACTATCTTCTTTTCTATCTCTATGCCATTTTCTACTTCTTCCTCTGAAAGCAGTAACTTGGTTTCTGAGTCTTTGGTTACAATAACCACAAAGGACTGTCGTGACTCAAGGATGTTAGCCACCACCACTTGATGCTGGTAAATTTCCAAAGCGTTCCGAGCACGACTAATTACGATGGAGGGGTCAGTCTCCAACTTAAAGGAAATTATAAATGCCTTGGGAGCCCAATCTTTAACCAAAGGAGAAAGCATCTTTGGCACCATCTTCATTGTTATCTGTATTGGAAAAAGAAAAGCTTAGTAAGCAAATAATGGTCACACCCTACAAGGTCAATCTCACAGGAAACTAAGGAATGGGAACTCAGATTTTTGCCTTAAATTTAATTTTTGAGTCATCAAACTTCTCTAAGCATTTTAAATGTTTAGTTTAAAAGCCTTAGCTTGAGTCCAGCAGATGGCATAACGCTTACGATGTTGGATTTCCACATAGTCAAGCACAGTTCAAGTCCTGGATCCAGCAGCTTAAACTCAAGCCAGGCGTGTGTACATGCATGTCCATAATCCCGAGAAGAGAATGGAGGAGGAGTTGCAGCATGGCCATTCTCCCTGGGGGTGATTTTTTGCTTTCTGTCTCTGCCTCTCCAGCGAGCACACATGCCCTATTGAACCATCCTCATCACTACTGACAGAACTTTAAAGAACAGCATTATATTTTCTCAAACATTCCCCTTCATTTTTAAACCCTAACCTTCAATAAATAAATACAATCAATCTGTTCATGCAAGTATTACTTTGGCAAAAGCCCAAATGAAGTTAGAAATTTTTTTTTTTTTTTAATTTTAGACATTTTTGCCTTAGGGAGTGTGTACTTACATGAGAGACAGAGACAGTGGAGAAAATACCCCCCAGGGGATGGCCACACCACAATCCCTATTTCTCCATTCTCCTCCCAAAATCTTGGGCACACACACATGTCTGGTGTGATTTTTCAAGCCACTGAGTTCAGGCCTCAAGCTGTGGTTGGTTATGTGAGTATAGCAACATACCCACTACTCTACCTGCTGGCCCCCGAATTTGGATTTTTAACTTCTTAGCCTAAAACATTTCTTGCATTGGTAGCACAGTTACTGGATTTCATTTGAGATTTGTTACTTGTGACATTACTTAATTTTTTCTTTCTTTTTTTTTCTTTTTGGAGAGGTTTTCGCTATAGGGCACGTGCGCTCGCCAGACAGAGAGACAGAAAATGAGAAATCACCCCCTAGGGCGGATGGCCATGCTGCAATCCCTTCTCCTCCATTCTCCTCTTGGGATCTTGGGCACACACGCACACGCACCCGGTGTGAGTTTAAGCTACTGGGTTTGGGACACGAACCATGGTTGACTACATGGGAATCCAGCGACATAGTCATTACACTAACTGCTGGTCCAAACATTACTTAGTTTTGAAGAAACAGATTTTCCTTATTTTCACTTGATCAAAACTCCTACTGCCCAGGGACCAATGGGTGATTTGGTGGTTAAGGCACTGGACACTCCCACAGGGGCAATCACAGTTTGAGTCTCGGACCTGGTGGCTTGCTCTCTCACTTCTTGCACTCTCTCTCTCTGGTCAAATTAAAAATAAATGAATGAATAAATAAAGTTAAATAAATAATTCTTTTTTAAAAAAATCCTACTGCCCAATTCCTAATCACTTTTTTTTCTTTCTTTCTTTTTTTTTTTTTTTGGAGAGGTTTTTGCTATATGGTGCATGCATTCACCAGAAAGACAGAAAGAGACAGAGAGACAGAAGGTGAGAAATCACCCCCCCAGGGAGGATGGCCACGCAGCAATCCCTTCTCCTCTATTCTCCTCTCGGGATCTTGGGCATCACACACACGCGCCCGGCGTTGAGTTCAAGCTTCTGGATCTGGGACTTGAATCGCGGTCAACTACATGGGAGTCCAGCGACATAGCCATTACGCCAACTGCTGGTCCCTAATTCCTAATCACTTCCAAGGAAAATGTTCAATTGTTCTGCATACTTTCAAGATACAATTTAAAATATAAGATAAACAAAAGATCCCAGAGTTTCAAAAGTATGAAATCACTAAGCTCATCAGCAGAATTTCCCCTAAGAAAGCTGTTAGCAATGATATACCAGTTCCTCACGGTAACTTTCTCCTTAACATTTATCACTACTGAACATAGTATGTATCTGACTTATGGGGAGTGAAGAGTGACGTCACCAACAGGAAGAAGAGGTAGCTCCTGACTCTCCTGCCACCCAGTCAAGCACCAAATAAACAACTGTATCCATGGATCAATTACCTCTGAGAAGAGACCAGTGGGGAGACACATACTGGGCAACTGAATTTGACTGTCTCCCTGTAGAGTGCAGGCAACATAAGGGCTGGGTTTCTTTTCACCTCCAGTACCTACAATGCCTGGCATACACTCAATAAGTATTTGCTGAAGTAATGAACTATCCCACAGTCAGTAAGTGCACTGCAGGTAGAGCTTCCCATATTTAAATTCTACTTGTATCACCCAATAAATGACTAAGAACTCCCTAAGGTTCCAAGAAGCCATATCATCTCAAGATCTCAACTACCCTCCACATACCTCTTCCTTAAACAACCCCCAACTAATCTACTCCCTCTATTCTCTTCCTACCTCACCTTTCATGCTGATGCCAGAATGCTCTTCCCAAACAAAACATTTATCTCACCCTCCTACTTAAAAGTCCCTTTCTCCACAGGCTAAAGTCCAAACTCCTTAAGAAGGAATGCCATGTCTTCCTAGAAGCAAGCAGTCTCTTCAGTCTGCTCTCCCATCTTACCACAGGACTTCAATTCACAGCCCACTGCCCATTTCCAAACTCCTACTGTGCACTCCACCTGGAATGACCTTCTCTCTGTCTGGTATACCCTCTGCTCCTTTTTAAAATCCCAGTTCCAGTCATGTCCAGGAAGCAGTCCTTGACTCCCCCGATTCACTCGCCCCATGATCTGCCTGCACTTTGTACATACCTCCACTAGAGCATTTATCACTCTGTACTGTAATTATGTCTGTGTCCAGCTCCCTCACTAGATTGTGAGGTCCTTGAGGGAGGGCGGTGTCTTATTCATCTCTGTATCCCCAGTGCCTAGCGCATATAAAATGCGGGAAGGCCATCTCCAGATCAAGAGGAAATTAACCCAAGACTGGTTATAGGGGATCAGATCTCTGGAAGAGAACCGCCCATCACCTGCAGTGGGCCCCCAGATGACTGGATCTTGTGTTCAGGCATTTCAGACACAGGAACATAGAAATCTGACACGGCCGCAGCTAGGTAAAACATCGCAGAAGGGCCTGCAACGAAAAACACAAGGTGTAAGAAATTGGGGAGGGTTGTGGGGTCAGCTCCCTTTCAAGTTGGTGCACGGCAGCGAGACTAGTGGGTAAGCAGAAGCTAAGATAGTAAGTGGCTGCAGAGAAAGACTGCCTCCAGGTAAACCCCGGACTGACTCCTAGGGCACGCACCTAGCGGATTGAGCGCCTGGGCCGCAGCCTGTAGCAGATGCAAATAGTCTGCCAAAGTGGTGAACTCTACAGCCAGGAAGGTGCCGGCGGCCGCTGCCTCCTGGTAGCTCCGCAGAGCCGCTGCGAAGCCCGGGAGTGCATTCTCCTCGGCCTCCAGGCTCAGCACGCCCGAACTGGCAGAGCGGGAAGGCCGCAGGGCGGACAGCCAGGTCTGGGGTGGGAAACGGTGGGCAAAGGGGAAGGCGGAGCGAGCGCGGTACAGGAACAAGACCCCGTAGCCCGCGGCCAGGAAGGCCTCGGCCGAGGTGG